AGCTGCTGCAGCAGCAACAGCAGCTGCAGCAGCAAGAGCAGCTGCAGCAGCAAGAGCTGCTGCAGCACCCAGCAGACGCACGACACCGGCCTGCTGCTGCTGCTGCAGCTGCAGTTTTTGCTGCTGCTCGCAGCATCAGCAACAGATACAGCCTGCTGCTGCTGCTGCTGCTGCTGCTGCTGCTGCTGCTGCTAGTATGAAAAGAAGTTGCATGCGAATAGCAGCAGAAGTGCTGCTGCTGCTGCTGCTGCTGCTGCTGCTGCTGTTGGTTTCTGTATGCTGAGGTGTACATACACCTCAGCAGTGTCCCTCCATTGGGGCCCTTGAGACGCTACCACTCCTCTCTGCTGCTGCTGCTGCTGCTGCTGCTGCTGTTGCTGCTGCTGCTGTGTCTGCTGCTGCTGCTGTTGCTGCTGGTGAAGCAGCAGACACAGCAGCAACACCTGCTGCTGTAGCAGCAGCAGCAGCAGCAGCAGCACGAGCAGCCTTCGAGCAGCCACTGCCTTTGGGTGTCTGTACACTGCGGCTGCGGTAAAGAGCAGCACGACGGCGGAGCTGCTGCTGCTGCTGCTGCTGCTGCTGCTGCTGNCTGCTGCTGCTGCTGCTGGTGTTGCTGCTGCAGCGAACGCGATGTCTTTGTACTGCATGCAGCAGCAACTGCAGCAACAGCAGCAGCAACGGCTGCTGCAGCAGCAGAACCAGAACCCAAAGAAGATACAGATAAAGGGGATTTCCTGGGGGACGTGCTGGAAGCAGCCCCTGCTGCTGCTGCTGCTGCTGCTGCTGCTGGTGTTGCTGCTGCTGCTGCTGCTGCTGTTCGTGGCTGCGCAGGGGAGACTGCAGCAGCAGCAGCAGCAGCAGGGCCAGCAGCGCCTCCTCTGCGAGCAGACACGGGAGAGAGAGACGTAGCTCGACTTCTGCTTGCTGCTGCTGCTGCTGCTGCTGCTGCTGTTGCTGCTGTAGGCCGAGCAGCAGCAGTACGCGGTGATGTTGCTGCAGCACGGCGCGTCAGCAGCAGAGCAGCAGCACGTTGCTGCTGTGTCTCTCTGCTAGCAGCTGCTGCTTCTCCCCGCGGTGCAGCAGCAACACCAGCAGTTGCAGCTGGAGCAGCAGCTGCAGCAGCAGCAGCACCTGCTGCTGCTGCTGCTGCTGTCGCCGGGGGACGCACAGAGCCAGTAACCTTCACTGCTGCACGTGTCAGTGGCCGCCCCTTTACATGCTGCTGCGGTGCTGCTGCAGCAGCAGCAGCAGCAGCAGCAGCAGCAGGGGCTGTAGGTGCTGCTCTTGCTGCAGCAAATGTTGCTGCTGCTGTAGGCAGGATGCGGCTGCATAGGGTCCTTGACGTGCTGCGAGGTGTTGCTGCTGCTGCTGTTGCTGCTGCTGCAGTGGAAGCAGCAGCAGCAGCTCTCCGCTTCTGCAGCGGCAGAACGCGGCTCGTTGCTGCTGTAGAAGGGGTAGGAGCAGCAGNAGCAGCAGGGCGCGCTTGTGCTGCTGTGGATACTAACTTCGTGCTGCAGCTGCTGGGGCCGCTCGGTTTGTTGCTGCGCTGCAGCAGCATGCGGCCGACACCTGCTGCTGTTGCAGCAGCAGCAGCAGCAACCAAGCGTACAGCTCCAGCCCTTCGTTGCTGCTGCTGCTGCTGTTGTTGCTGCTGCTGTTGCTGCTGCTGCTGTTGCTGTTGCTGCTCTTGCATATCTATTCGCCTCTCTGTATCAACAGAACTTTTTCCTGCAGCAGCACCAGCACCACCAGCAGCAACAGCAGCAGCAGCAGCAGCAGCAGCAGCAGCAGCAGCAGGAGCTGCTGCTGCTGCTGCTGCTGCTGCTGGCCGTGGCAGCAAAGGAGGAAGGCTGCTGTCGCTGCTGCAGCAGATGGCTCTGTCTAACAGACACTGCAGCGGATGCAGGGGGCTGCATGGGGGGACCCCATCATCATCATCATCATCTGCTGCTGCTGCTGCTGCTGCTGCTGCTGCTGCTGTATCTTCTGCTGCTGGAGCAGCTGCTGCAGCATCATTAACGCAGTCTTGCGGTGCGTGTGAGACTGCAGAAGCAGCAGCAGGAGATGATGATGCTGCTGCTGCTGCTGGTTCTGCTGCAGCAGACCTGTGCATGCAGCAGCACCGCTTCTTGAGGGACGCTACAGGGCTCCCTTCGTGCTGCTGCTGCTGCTGCTGCTGCTGCTGCAGCTGCTGCAGCTGCTGTGTACACCGTGGTGGGGTCAGGCTACTGCTGCAGCACCTGCGTTTGCTGCTGCTGCAGCTGCTGCACGAGACGCTGCCGCAGCGGCAGCAGCTGCAGGACGGAGCCTTTCGCTTGTGCTGCTGCTGCTGCTGCTGCTGCTGCTGTTTAACAGGGCTGCAGCAGCGCATGCAATCATCATGTCCCTCTGCTGTTTTGCTCCTAATAGGGGTGCTGCAGCAGCTGCTGCTGCTGCAGCTACTGCTGCTGCAGCTGCTGCTGCTGCAGCTACTGCTGCTGCAGCTACTGCTGCTGCAGCTGCTGCTGCTGCAGCTGCTGCTGCTGCTGCTGCAGCAGCTGCAGTGTTCAGCAGCAGCAACAAGAGCAACCTGGCTGCGGGCGAGGGCCTTTGCGTCTTCTGCGAAAGTAAATTCCATCATCGCTCTGAACTCAGGAAGAGTGAGGCGTGAAGGTGTGCTGCTGCTGCTGCTGCTGCTGCTGCTGCTGCTGTCTGCTGCTGCTGTTGCTGCTGGTGTTTGCTGCTCTGCTGCTGCTGCTGCTGCTGTCTGCGGTGCTGGGGTGCTGCTGTACGCGCGACACCGCAAGGGGGTCCCCAAAGGTGTTTTAGCAGATCCTGCTGCTGCTGCTGCTGCTGCTGCTGCTGCTGCTGCAGCAATGCCGCCAACTTGCTGCTGCAGCTCAACGGCTGCATGCGATGTATGGCGTGGAGGCGTTAGCTGTCTTTGTTGCTGCTGCTGCACCTGCTGCTGCTGCTGCTGCTGCTGCTGCTGCTGCTCCGCGCGGCGGTTCTTGGGGGGGCTCGGGCTGCATGCAGCCCTCACATGTTCTATCATATACTCCGCCATCGCCCTGCAGCAGCAGCAGCAGCAGCAGCAGCAACAGCAGCAGCAGCAGCAGCAGCAAGAGTATGATGCTGCAGCAGCAACGTGATGGGCCTGTCAGCAGCACGCGCTGAAAGGTGGTGGGGAGGAGACAGCAAAAAGAATAAACAAAAGGAGACAGGAGACAAAAGAAAAGATGAGAGACAAAAGGAGACAAAATAATAAACAAAAAGAGACAGGAGACAAAAGAAAAGATGAGAGACAAAAGGAGACAAAAGAAGAAACAAAAGGAGACAGGAGACAAAAAAAAAGATAAAAGACAAAAGGAG